TTCTCAACACAAATCCTTTCTGACGTTGGTATCAAAGTCTGGAAATGCACCTGCAGACTAATACTGTAACAAGTGGAGTACAAATACTGGAAGAAGGTTTTAAAGGAACACGTTTATGGAGGAAATATGCTCATTTTATAACTCTCCTACTGTTAAACAGTTGAGTTTTTCCATTTTTTGAATCAATTTATTTGATCTGTGGGTCTGGCGGGAGCACTTTTTAGCTTAGCTTAGCATAGATCGTTTAATCGGATTAGACCGTTAGCATTTTAATATTACGCAGCACTTTTGAATAGCTTTTATATGTAGTATCTTTGTTTGGATCCTGACTACAATTTGCTGGTTTGAGTTAGGCTATTCCTTCTCATCTCTTCTCAGATGTGCCTGTGTTATCACTATTACTGGTTGTTATCTGAGAATAACATGCCTATGAATCTTGTAATTAGCCAGTCAGAATCAAGTACTTCATAAAACCATGCAATAATGCTTTATAATGTCTTTCCAGCACAGTGGAATGACTGTTAATGCATCTAACATAGCTGATATTCATGGCATGAATGTAAAAACCCTCCATCTTATATTCAGTCTCCATCTGATACTTAGAATTCCTGCGGGTTTCACACCGATCAGATTTTCATAGGCCGAGTTTTTAATGGCTATTTAATGTTATTTCCTTGATGGATGGAAGAGAGCTGCGGTGATCTTATTTGGGAAAGCATATGATCAAATCGTATAGTCTTACCTCCGCAAGTGGAGTTCCGTGGCTTATTTAAAGAGATTTAAAGGTCACATATCACACCTCGCAGGCCATTTCAGATTGGATTATCTCTGTGTAACTGTGACACACTTTGTTCGGCTGATGATGCACCGGGGGGGGGGTTGTGCACGGTTTGAGGAGTTCAGGCTGTTGCATGTCGAAGGATCTCTTTTCTAGCATCTCAACTGCCACTAATATGACAAGATGATAAGAGAGACATGGCTCCATGTGGCTTGTTTCTATTAAGCGGTACAATTTGCTATGCATTTAGTCAAAAACTACCAAAATGCTAAATATTGTAGCACTTTTTTTGATACCCATTTGGGTTGTTTCTACTGACTGATACAATTCAATACAGTACAGTATTGTATGCATTCATTTCAAAAGAACCAACATGCAAAATATCGTACTGTACTACTTTTTTGGTACCCATTTGACATGTTTATACAACTAATTGGTACAATTCGATACAATAAAGTGCGGTACTCATTTATTTAAAAGTACCAAAATACCAAATATTGTACCAAAGCTCTTTTTTGGTACCCATTAGGCTCATTTCTACTGAGCAATACAATTTAGCACAGTACACTTTGCTACTTATGTATTTTAAAAGTACCAACCAAATATCGTACCGTAACACTTTTTTGGTACCCAATTGGCTTGTTTCTACTAGGCAGTACAATTGGGTACAGTAAAGTACTGTACACATTTACTTAAAAGTACCTAAATACCAAATATTGTATCAAATCACTTTTTGTTGGTACACATTTGGCTTATTTCTACTGAGCGGTAAAATTCAATACTGTATGGTTTTGGTACCCATTTGGCTTGTTTCTTCTAAGCGGTACAATTCGGAATAGTAAAGTACGGTACACATTTATTTAAAATTATTAAAATACCAATTATCGTACCTGTTATGATTTATGTTTTCTTTTTGTTTTTTTTCACCCTCCTCTCCGTTTGCTCAACCCTAGGTTTCTTATTGGTTTATTATTCTGTCCATCATCATTATGACGCTCTCCGGTTCCACCAATCCCAGGACGAGCCGCAAGTATTTAAAGCCCTGTCAGTCCAGTGTGTGGTGTGCGCCCTGCCTCGGCGTACGCTTTGTGCTCCATGCAATTTGTTTGTGCAAATGCTTCGTCTATTTTGTGATCTCTCAGTTACTGTGATAATTCGAGTTGCTTGCTTGTTGGCTTTAAGTAACATATGATGATGGTTGTGTGATCCTAAACTAAGATTTAACGGACTTATCCGTTTCGTTTTGTTTTAGTTTAGATTGATGTTTTGTTAGATTAGTTTGAGTGTTTTGCCACCCGTGTATTTTTGAGTTTTGTAGTTTGATTAGTTTAGTTCGGGTGTCGTACACACTGAAGATCTCGGTTTTTATTTGTGTTTCTTTTTGACGCCTAGTTTAGACATTAGATTTAAGGATTGTTTTGTTTTGTTAATTTCTTTGATTTGGCTTACACTCGTTGTTCTTGTTTAAAGATAATAATTATAAATGTTTGTTTGTTTGTTTTTTCTCCCCCATTTATTATTGTTACATGTTTCAATTCAATTATTGAGTAAAAGCTTTAAATGAGAGTAACTGAACCTGGCCTCATTATTGATCTGTCGCACACATTACACCTGTCTCACTTAAATGTTACAGCATCCCACTTTAACATCATAAAACACGTAACATTTAATTGGTGGCAGCGGTTCGATACAGTACAGTATGGTAAGGTAGACATTTATTTAAAGTACCAATATACCAAATATTGTACCATACCACTTTTTTGGTACCTATTTGGCTTGTTTCTACTGAGCGATATAGTACGATACAGCACAGTATGGTAAGGTAAACATTTATCTCAAAAGTACATATATACTAAATATTCTACCATACCACTTTTTTGGTACCCATTTGGCTTGTTTCTACTGCACGGTAGAATTTAATAAAGTGTTTGTTTAAAAGTACCAAAATACCAAATATCATATATGCCACTTTTTTGGTACTCATTTGGCTTAATTCTACTAAGCGGTACAATTCAGTTCTGTCTGGTACTGTACGCATTTATCTAAAGGTACCAAAATACCAAATATTGTACTATACCACTTTTTTGGTACCTATTTGGCTAGTTTCTACTGCGTGGTAAAATTCAAAACAGTAAAGTACGGTATGCATTTATTTAAAAGTACCAAAAAAACAAATTTTGTACCATACCACTTTTTTTGTACCCATTTGGATTATTTTTACTAAACGGTACCGTTCGATACAGTACAGTATGGTAAGGTACACATTTATTTAAAATACCAATATACCAAATATTGTTCCATACCACTGTTTTGATACCCATTTGGCTTGTTTCTACTAAGTGCTTCATTTCTGTACAGTAAAGTACGCATTTAGTTAAAAGTACCAAAAATACCAAATATTGTACCATACCACTTTTTTAGTACCCAATTGGCTTGTTTCTACTGAGCGATACAGTTCTATACAGTACAGTATGGTAAGGTAAACATTTATCTCAAAAGTATATATATACTAAATTTTGTATCATACCACTTTTTTGGTACCCATTTGGCTTGTTTCTACAAAACTGTACAATTCGGTAAACTACATTATAGTAAGGTACGAATTTATTTAAAAGTACCAAAATATAAAATATTGTACCAAACCACTTTTCTGGTAGCCATTTGGCTTGTTTCTACTGTGTGGTAGAATTCAATACAGTTAAGTACGATACGCATTTTAAAATTATTATTATTATTATTATTATTATTATTATTACAATTATAATTATTATTCCACTAAGCGGTAAAATTCGGTACAGTACAGTATGGTAAGGTGCGCATTTATATAAGAGTACCAAAATACCAAATATCGTCCCATACCACTTTCTTGGTACCCATTTGGCTTGTTTTTTACTTAACAGTACAATTCGTTCCAGTAAAGTACGGTATGCATTTATTTCAAAAGTAACAAAATTGCAAATATCGTACCATAAAACTTTTAGGAATTCCCAATTGGCTTATTTCTACTAAGCGGTACAATTCAGTACAGTACAGCATAGTAAGGTATGCATTTATTTAAAAGCACCAAAATATCAAATATTGTACCAAATTAGTTTTTGGTACCCGTTTGGCTTGTTTCTACTGTGCAGTAGAATTCAATACAGTAAAGTGCGGTAAGCCCTTTTTAATTATTATTATTATTATTATTATTATTATTATTATACTAAGCGGTACAATTCGGTACAGTACAGTATGGTGCGGTATGCATTTATATAAAAGTACCAAAATACCAAATATCGTCCCATACCACTTTATTGGTACCCAAATGGCTTGTTTCTACTAAGCGATACAATTTGGTACAGAACAGTACGGTTCGGTACACATTTATTTAAAAGTACCAAAATACCAAATATCGTCCCATACCACTTTTTTGGTACCCAAATGGCTTGTTTCTACTAAGCGATACAATTTGGTACAGAACAGTACGGTTCAGTACACATTTATTTAAAAGTACCAAAATACCAAATATCGTCCCGTACCACTTTTTTGGTGGTACAATTCAGCGATACAGACATGACATTGTTCATTTGTCATGCACTATGGTACATTAGACAAGAAGAACTGATTGAATCTTGCGTCTCAGCGCTTATTTGTTATTTACGAATCCCCACTACCTGTATCAAGCAAATCATGCCAAAATTGTGTAATCTGAATAGGGCTTAATTTGTATAAATGGATACTACAATAGAGGATAATGACTTTATCATTATGTTAAGTGGGTCCTGTCTTTATATAGTTGTCAATAAACTGCTAAGCAATGTGAACAGACACCGAATGGCAGAGCTGGTGTGCTTTAAGCTGCGATTTCAAAAATGGTGTTCAAAAGTTTCTGTTGATCTTTGGTCGCACTAACCCTGCCCTCAGCTCCTGATTAAACAGTTCTTACTCTTTAACCAGCAAAATTTTAAGAACCTAACAACCCCTTATCCTGGTTCAGTGCTGGTGCTTTGAAACTACCAACACTCAACCCTCCTTAATGGAAAAGGGGTATTATTAGGGGTATTAAGTTGCACATGGCCCAGAAAAAAGCATCACATGGTCTCTTGGATGATCCACAGACATTCAATTTAGGCAAAAATTCTCAGATCTTCTGCTGTCACACCGAATATCTGGCAACACAAGACTAAAGACACACTGTGGACAAATCTGCTACATTTAGGCTTCTGACATCGTTGGAACATACCTGGCTACATGGTTGATGACGGGTGAGAAGTTGGTGGGACCGTAGAGCTGGACAGATTTAAGACTCTGGTAATACGCCTCCATGACTCCATCAATGCCATTGCAATATGGGTTCTGAGGGTTTCCATTCTGTAGAAACACACATGAAATCACTATTAGAGCAGTCACGGCTTCCTTCAACATCTGATGGAGATTTCTGCAACAGAAATAGACATTTACATTGTTTTATTTGTAAATGTAAGTGCTGTCTGTTGTGTTTGGTGTCATGTGGGTTCTATGAGGTGCTCTTTAGGGCTGGTGGGTTTTTCTGGAAAGTTGCCAGAGCATTGCTACAGTATGTGCTTCCTACGTGTTTTAATTTGCAAGTACACTAGATTGCTGCTAGCATGCTATGTGTTCATATGCAGTTGCTAGAGTGGCATATGTGGCTACTTTTTCATCCCAAGGTCTCTATAGATTAATAATAGTTAAAAATACGTAAACAAATAAAAAACACTATATTTTTTTACATTTTTATTGGGTGATGCAGTGCCTCAGTGGTTAGCACTGTGGCCTCACAGCAAGAAGGTTGCTGGTTCGAGTACCAGTTGATGTTTCTGTGTGAAGTTTGCATGTTCTCCCTGTTTTCCACACATGGTGAAACTAAATTAATTAAATATAATAATAAATTAAATAAATTAAACTAAATTGTCCGTAGTGTGTGTGTGTGTGGGTGTGTGTGTGTGTGTATGGGTGTTTTCCAGTGCTGAAAGGGCATCTTCTGCGTTTGGAAAGGCGTTCAGTGTGCAAAACATATGCTGGATAAGTTATCGGTTCATTCGGCTGTGGCGACTAAGCCGAAGGAAAATGAATGAATTATATTAACATTGTAAATATGAAATGTACATATTTGTAAGCTTATCTAGTATGTTGGACTCTTATTTTGAAAAAGGGAGAGGTGGTTTGTAAAGCAGTAAAAGCTGGCATGACCACGGAGTGTTTAGAGCTCATCAGAATGAAAAATGCAGGATATAATACATTTTGGTCATTACAAAATTTATAATGAGGCAACAAACACATGTAAAGTAAAAGCGTTTAATCAATGTTTATTCAATTCAATTCAATTCAGCTTTATTTGTATAGCGCTTTTACAATGTAGATTGTGTCAAAGCAGCTTCACATAAATGGTCATAGTTACTAGAACAGTGTAGTTCAGGTTTTAGTGTTTAAGTTCAGTTCAGTTTAGCTCAGTTCAGTGTGATTTAATCATTACTGAGAGTGAATGAATAGCGTCATATCACTCAGCTCTAACATTTTCTGGAGTGAAACCATGCTAATGCACTTTATAAAACTCTGTCTTGGCAGAGGTTCATGATAATTCTTAGCTCTGTTTTGTGGCATAAAGATCACCCACTCCTTCAAGCTTAAATAAACCTCCTTTACAGCTTCAGTTGAAGAGTGTTAACAAGGCTTGTTTACGTATCATTCATCATATAATGTTTATAATATAATATTTAAAGAAAATTAAATCTATTTTGCACATATAACTCCCAGTACATAATGTTGTGTGCACAGTTTGTGCGAGTGGAGGGTATTTCGTCATCTACCACTCTGCTCAATACAGGCTCCCCTCAGGGGTGCGTCTTGAGTCCGCTGCTATACACTCTGATGACCCATGATTGTTGTGCAAAACTTAGCACTAATCGCATTATTAAATATGCTGATGACACCACAATAGTGGGTCTCATCCAGGATAATGATGAGAGGAACTACAGGGAGGAAGTAAAGCTCTTCACAAAGTGGTGCTGGGAAAACAATTTAGTTCTGAATGTTGATAAAACTAAGGAGTTGGTGATCGACTTCAGGAAGAAACGCCCCACTTATTCCCCTGTATATATTAATAACACTGCTGTGGAGACTGTACAGCAGATAAAATTCCTGGGGGTCCATGTTACTAATAACCTGACTTGGTCTCTCCATACCACTTGTCTTGCGAAGAAAGCGCACCAGCGACTGCACTTTCTAAGATGGTTGAAAAGAGCACATCTCAGCAAATCAATCCTCACAACTTTTTACAGAGGAGCTGTTGAGAGTGTTCTTACAAATGGCATCTCCCTTTGGTATGAGAATAGCAGTGTGTCTGATAAGAACACCATTAAGACGTTTATAAAGTCAGCTGAAAGGTCTGTTGGAGTCAAAATGACATCTATCGAGGAACTTTACCAACGCCGTTGTCTGTCTAGGGCAAATAACATTTTAGGGGATCCAACCCACCCTGGTCATAGCCTGCTCTCACTCATGCCATCAGGCAGCCGTTACAGAAGTCTGAGGAGCAAATCAGTGCGGTTTCCAGATCCTGTCATTATAAGACTTTTAAATAATACCATTTCTTAAGCATTGTTGAAAGCTAGTGTTAAATAATAAATAAATTTGTTAAACTAGCATAAATTGTTAATATTACAACAAATGGTGAAATAGGTATTTAAGTATTAAGTTATTCTCTTCAGAGATTTTTAAAAAATGGGTTATATCTTATATAATTATATTTTTTATATTTTATGGAATAATAAAAGCTTATTTATCATGTTAGGATTTTATAGTGTTTTTATAGTGATGTTTTTTCTGTTCTTGTTGGGTCTCTTGCAACGTAATTTCGTTCTGCATTACAATTCTATTGTGATGACTTGAATGACATAAATAAAGGAAACTGAAACTGAAACTGATGTGTGTGAGTGACATCGGAGCTCATTAATATTCATGACTATTCCAAATATGGTAAAAGAATGGCCTAGGGGTAATTCCTGTGGTGATAAATACACATATGAAATTGTTTGCGGAGAATTGTTGAACTTGCCAAAGCCATACACCTACTGTGTAGAAATCAGAACACAGTTTAACATTTGACACTCAATGGCACCTTTAAAAGCAGTCCCTAATTAAGAGCTGTTTGTGTTTTTTTTATTATTTATTTATGCTGTCAAGTTGCACTTCTTGATTGCTGCTGTGAAAACTTTTGATGTTACAAAATATTGTGTAAAAAAAAATACTGAAATATACACAAATAAAAGATTCCACACTTTTTTTGTTTTGATAGTTTGGTTATTATAGACCGACCCAGACAATATATCAGTTCAAACTGCCTAAAATGTCAAAAAAAGTCACTTTTATTTTAAAATGTAGTAATCATAATACTATTTAAGAGCAAAAATCATCAGGAAACACCTCTGAATTATAAGCTATGAGCAGCTGTAATTAACAGAATTAAATTTTATTTATTTATATTTTTAAAAGGGTGTTTAAAACCTGCTCACAATATGAGAGCCAGTGTTCTGTCTTGGCTCAACAGGTAGTAAACGATCACTCAGAAATGCTAAATTACAGAATGTGTCTCCTGATAAACGGGATATCCCGTGTATCTCCGGTAAATAAAGCTATCGCAGTAGGACATGTGCTTACCAGGGCGAACTCATGGGATATTCTCCCATCAGGGGGCAGTTTGGCTCCGAAGCCCAGCGCGGGGAACATCTTGTCGCTGTCATAGTCCTGTATGATCTCCCCCACGGCTTTCAGCGCCATGGCGTAGGCGTTGAGCTGGTAGGGACTCATGTAATGGAGGGAGGTGGGCTGGGCAGGGTTGCCTGGGAACCGGGTGCAAGAAAAAGCCGTCATTTAGTGCAGTTTAACCATTTGCCAGGGGAAGCTTAATTGGCAAGACGCATCGCATGAAGCCGTATAATGCAGCGTAAAACTATTCAAATTGGAATTTTCCATTTAAATGTCATCTCATCTGTTTCTATATGTAGCCGTGAGCTCGTTTAAATTGCACTGTTAACACTAGAACTGCCAAGGGGTAAATAATGGCTGCTTTTCAGCAAGTGAGCCTCACTAGTGTACAAGATTCAGTTTGGTTAATGTATTTACTATGAACAATACACGTTCATTCGTCTGTTTACCATTAGCTAAATACATTTATTGCATGGGAACATTACATTTGGTTTTATTATGTATTGTTACAAACCCCTGATGTTAGTCTAGGGTTGTGGGGTTTGACATTTGATTAATTAAAATATATTTATATAAACAGTGAATGAGTGGAAACTCAACCAAAGTAATCCCAAAATATGTGTGCTTTTATTTACAATCCCAAAGTGAACAACAACAACGAATTAATCAAAAATAAAGAAAAAGTAAGTAAGACAAAAATATTCTATTTACAATATGTACAACACTGAGACAATTAAAGACGGGAAAAACAAGAGAGCTGGCAGAAGGGACGCGGGCGGCGCTAAAGAAACGAAAAGAACAAAACCCAAACTAAATCTAACTCCCCAGAAGCATCTAGCTAACTAACTATATGAAAACTAGTATAATTAACACGCAGAGATCTTCCGAGTCCTTACTATCTACTCTATCTATCTACTCAAAAAGTACAAGTAGTGTTTAGTACACTAACCTAGTGTACTAAACAGCAGAGTAGTCCTATGTGTTGCGAAATGTATGTCACGTGACCTTCTTACCTGTCCGCTTCGTCCAAGCCTCGTAAACAACGATAAACTAAGAACGATGTACGAATAACAGACGGATAACGTGCACACAGAAACGAGCAACAACAAAAACGACAGGGTATCAACGTACGCGACAAAAGCAGAGAAAGAGAAAAAAATGCAAGGGCATTTAAAGGACAACAGAGGTGTCCAAAGTAGGGGTGCCCTTTAGTTTGGCCTGAAATGAGAGGGTGAATGATAGGGAGTTGAATAGTGTGAACGCCTGACAGAGATCGTCATTTCAAATTTAACATAATCTTTCGTTTCTTTGTTTAATTGAGGAGCTAAAAAAAAGCTAAGTAAAATGAAATGTTGTAAATGAATCAGACTTTTAAAATGTAAATACTGCCACTTGACAGATCAGCAAGCTTATCAAGGCGAAGGCAGGAGCAGTTTTCAGCATTGAACCTGTGTTCAGGAGCAGTTTTCAGCATTGAACCTGTGTTCAGGAGCAGTTTTCAGCATTGAACCTGTGTTATCAATTGTATTGTTTATGTTTTTACTATATTAAGTTCATTATTAAACTCTAAAAAATGATACTGCATCATTAATTAATATGTTTTAAAGCAACATGTCCTAGTGATTTATAAATATTAGCAAAGAAATTAGGAAATTGTACATGGCAAAATACAGTTTGGTATAGAGTGTTCAACTTTGGCCCTCAATCAAGTTTGGCTTTTGGCCCTTTATAAGAAAAAGTTTGGGCACCCCTGCTCTAAAATGCATGGATGGGCACTAATATATGAGTACTAATATAACTAACACATATAAGACTAACAATCATGTTTATTTATGAGAATTATAAGTAATATGAGACAAATAGATCATCATTTTCCCTTTTGATGCTGAAGATATTAGAATGTGTATCATTTAATTATGATTCTGTGTCTGCTGTTTAGTCATTTATATGACAATCATGTATTTTTTTTACACTTATTTACATTAGACACTTACTAAGATGTGACCCTGAACCACAAAACGGCCAAATTTGACAAAATTTTATATATATATATATATATATATATATGTAAAAAATCTTTAGCATATTAAGTAAAGATCATGTTCCATGACTATATTTTGTAAATGTGCTATTTTTAATATTTATTAAAACAAAATTATAAAGATCTATATTAATAAAACTATATTAAAGCATGTTTACACTGCAAAAATGCTTTTCTTACTTAGTTTTCTGTCTTGTTTCTAGTCCAAATATCTACAAATTCTTAAATCAAAAAGCATTTTCGAGACAAGCAAAATATATAGTCTTGTTTTAAGAAATATTATGCCAATATTAAGTGAGTTTTTCCTTAAATCAAGCTAAATAATCTGCCAATGCAAGCAAAATAATCTTGCTTTTCGATTTGTAATATTTTGTTTACCCCGTTGGCAGATTATTTAGCTTGATTTAGGGAAAAACTTACTTCATTTTGGCTTAATATTTCTTAAAACAAGACAATTTATTTTGCTTGTCTAGAAAATGCTTCTTGATTTAAGAACTTTTTGATATTTGGACTAGAAACAAGACAGAAAATCTAAGCAAGAAAAGCATTTTTGCAGTGTAAACAGTAATATGCATTGCTAAGAACTTAATTGGAACAACTTTTAAGGTCATTTTTTTTCAGTTTTTTATTTTCAGACTGCAGATTTTCAGCCAAATATTCTCCTTTCATGGTCGTGTCAAGGTAAAGCTTATTTATTTAGCTTTTTGAATATGTATCAATCAAAATAACCTTCATGACTGGTTTTGTCATGACAAAATGTCGTATGTAACAGCAGTTTATTGTATATAGCAGTTTGTTTTGAATGCATTTAAAACAAGAATAATTTTTTGACATATTAAAATACTATTTAACGATAACAGGTGCAAAATATTAGCTAATCGCACACTTCAAACATCATGCACTGCCAATAATCTTTAAAACACTAGTATTTATCATTTCTGTTTAAATATTATGAATTAATTATGAACTATGAATGAATTTCACCCTTATTTCCATGTTTTCTTTTCACAAAAGTTAGTGACTTAAAATGTATAGTAGTAGAGGCTTCCTGTGTGCACAAAGTAACTCATATTTGACACAAATACAGTGCATACTATGTTAAAAGTAGGAAGCAAAATTAAAATAGCATAAAAAATTAGAAAGTGTTACAGAAATAAATGAAGCGTCCAATAGGGCGCAATAAGATTTTTAAATGCATAAGCTCGAAAATAGCTTTTTAAATGTAAAAGCAAAACTTTTTAGGGGAGAAATAGGCTCATTTTACAACTTTCCTAAAGTTCAGCAGTTTTAGCTTAGCTTAGCATCAATCATTGAATTGGATTAGACCATTAGCATATCGAAAAAAGATGATTTTTGATAGTTTTCCTATTTAAAGCTAGACTCTTCTGTATCTTCTGTAATTACATTAAACCGACAGAAAATTCAGAATTAGTATGGTCAGAAAGGCTATGGATAATGAACCATACTTCTATTCTGGTTTAATTGTCAAGGAACTTTGCTGCTATATCATGGCAGGCGCAATGCTACTAGCTGAGGACTATCTTCAGGTCAAGTTCCTTGATTCTTACGCCAGTATGAGAGTTTTTAATCATAAAAATAATAAATCCAGTAAGATGCTAATGGTCTAATGCTATTCAGTTATTTATGCTAAGCTAAAATCAGAAAGTGTTACAGAAATAAATGAAGCGTCCAATAGGGCTTCAGCATTATATGACATTACCATGGTAACATGTTTCAAACACATGAGCTCAAACATAGCTTTTTAGAGGAACAAACCACTTTTTGTGGGGGGAAATAGACTCATTTCACAACTTCACAAAAGTTCAACACTTTTAGCTTAGCTTAGCTTAGCATCAATCATTGAGTCAGTTTAGACCATTAGCATATAAAAATAAGATGATTTTTAAAATCAGTTTCCTATGTAAAGCTGGACTCTTTGACAGAAAATTAAAAGTCGGTATGGCTAGGAAGGCTACAGATAATGAAGTATACTTCCATCTTGGCATAATAATCAAGAAACTTCACTGCCGTACCATGCAGGTGCAATATTATGCAGCGCTGTGACCTGGTTACCTAGCTGGGGACCATCTTCAGGTCAAGTTCCTTGATTATTATGCCACAATGAGAGTTTTAAATAATTAAAATAATAAATCGAGTGAGATCCGATTCATTTATGTATGCTAAGCTATGCTAAAAATGCTCCTGACAGACCCGGACACCAGCTGAATGGATTAAAACATAGTAAAACTCAACCGTTTACATTAGGAGGACTTATTTCCAATGAAGTTGAGAGTTCCTTTAAGGCTAAAAGAGTTAAAAGACATTCATTTGATGAAGGTTTTATTCCTCTCTTTACTCTTTGAGCGCTCTGCAAGGCTGATATTATGAATCTGAAACTTATGAAATAGGTTAGTCGAGGATGGCCCTGTAATTCAGACGGTTTTGTGGTATTCCCTTTGAATCCGCAGATGAATGAAAAAGGCTAGGCCTCTCGGTATAATCGCACACATCAGAGCTCTTTATTGCATTAAACCT